AATAGATAGACAAAATTCTCCCCAATGCTATAAAGAGAGCTAATCGCTTTATTTAATACTACAAATAATCTAAAATCATTTGACATCAATAGAAATCAGTCTGTTCCTCTTTGATATATATTTAGAAATGCTTTGGGTCAATTAGATACATCTGTTGACACAGTAACAGGCCAACATCTGGATCATGCCGTGCTAGACTCAGTCATCCCTCCACCTCACACCTCAACAATATTGTCTAGTGTATGATGGTATTAATGGTTTATAGATCATATCCATATGAATAAACGATCTCTGCAGTATTTGTCATATAGTATTTTATTGTTGATCAAGGTGATGTATGGTAATAATTCATATAAATTGTACTAAATGTAAACAGAACTGCAACACAATTCTTATTTTTCTATATCACGTGCATATTCATAAATAGTATCAGCTAAATGTATTGCCATGGCAACAATAGTCAGAACAGGATTCCATGACCCACCAGTAGGCCACAATGCTCCCCCAGTGATGTAGACATTATCTACGCCTTGGAGATGGTAATCACTGCTCACTGGTGCTTCAATGTCTCCACTGCCCCCTATCCACATCGTTGAGGCATCATGGACAAGAAAGTTCTTGCGCATCTGCTCTCGTGGAGGAGTATCTTTCCTCCAAGTTTTGTCAGTCTTATGCCAGTATTCAAGATTACCACTATATGTGGAGGATGAGAGCTCGTTCAACACCTTAAATGTTACAGTGTCCATCAAGTCCCACAACTGTTTGTCCTGATCATTAAGGTGAAGTTTCAGTTCTCCATTGGTAATGAGGCACTGACAGTTGTTGTTCAGGTTAAACTGGTTACTCTGGTTCTTGTAGTCTAGTTCCCCCAGTGTTGAGCAAGACACCACAATAAAGTCTTGTGATATATCGATGCACTCTCTAGGTATTGAATTAGCTGAATATTTTTTGCAGATGTCATGGATACTGCTGTCATTCTTGCACTGTGTATAGGCCACTGCAGATAATTGAAGGTGGTATTGTGCCTCATTTTTCATGCCTGCAATGTATACTGCACCCAGCTCAACCTCAGAAACATTGTTTGCAAATGTTAGGCTTTGCCTGGGGACTCGAGCTACTACTGAGCTGACAAAATGTGCTGTGAACCTCTTTCCAATATTAGAAAGCTGAGGGAATTCAGTGTTTTGGAAAGAGTTGAGCACTAGTGTAGTAGCAGGTAGTGTACTCATTGCCAAGATCAGTTTACTATCATTGAGAGGTAAGCTGGTTCCTTGGCTTGTTTGAAGAGCTGTTGCTTTCTTTCCGTCATGCAAAATTTTTTCGACCGTGCAATCAAAAACCACAGTAACATTCTCCATAGATAGTAGCATTTCTACAGTGGAGAATTTTATGAATCTAAGGAGACAAAAACAAGATGAATGTAATATTAGCTTACAAAAAGTCACAAAAAAAGGCGAAATCCTCATGCAATTCTATTTCAAATCTAACTTACCCATTGTTACCTATAGCAAGAGGGCCATGAAGGACTTGCTCCACTGATTCTATGTTAGTAGCACTATCCACACATTTTTTCAAGCACTCTTGAAATGTGCAATAGATAAGATTACTATTTTCGTGTGCATTTATTTTATTTGCTGCGGCAACACCAAGAAATTCATGCGCCAAATCAAAATATTTGTCTTGCAATGAAGTTTTGAGATCTTCTGGCCATCCTGCTAGTTCTTTGTCTGAGGGTGTTGGACTCCATCCACTCCAATAGGTAGACCTTCCTCCAAACAACGGTATCTGACCATGAATGTTCTTAACAAATTCGTTCTCTATGGTTTCATTGGAGATAGTCCAGGGTCTTAATTCCACTTCTTCTGGAGGGGAAGCTGAAGAATACTGTTGGTGATGTTTAGGTAGATACTTCAAACCTTTCTCCAACACAATTATCTTTGCCTCCGGATCGTTCTGCAAAGTTCGGTGAATGAAGGCCAGAGAGCAAAACGAAGAGCCGATCACAACGTAGTTATAATAATTGTCAACTAAGTCGGCAATCGTCTTAGTAGTAGTAGGACGACCGCTGAAGAAGTCATGGCCAATAAGGCGAAATGCTTGGTGGAATCCTTCGCGAACGAAAAATATAGTAGAAGCTATACCGTCGGGGTTGTTCTCTGCAAATAGTTCAAGACCAAGCTTATTGTCCTCAGTAGCAGTAGCAGCAAGCGATAACCGAAGCAGTAAGCGGCGATCGCCTTCCTTAATTTCTAGTGACTCTTTGGGTTTTGACCCGTTGTCTGTTGAGCTGCTGATAAGCTTACTCTTAGTATTAAAAGTGAGGTACATCGAAGAAACTTGATTAACCAGAACCCATAATGAGTGACGATACATAACTATCCACAATGCACTTTCCTTTGTCGGTTTATTCGATGTCTCGAGGATTAATTCGTCGTGGCAAGCTGCTAGGAGACGGTTATTGTAATTAATGCAACGGAGAGATACACCCGATACATGCGACATTTTAATGACACGGAATTTTACTATAGTGCTGCGTAGCTATCGATTCTATAAATATAAATATGAACAATTTCAACTATGCCAACTATGGACAGATCGAATAACGGGTGATGCAACAGTTCCTGAAAAAATCGCGCTTTATTTTGCTTCGGCAAAAACATTTTTTGTATAAATAAAAATTACCTATTCTGAATCTACGTTGAAAGCACTGACCAGCTGAATCAATCCGACACAGAATCCTATCCGATCTTCTAAGATTCTACCAACCAACAAAATTCGATGGAATTTCGGGCTGAGAAACTACTAACAGAACCCGAAGGTCAGATTCCTACAATAGTCAATAATAATCCACTGTAGGAAACGGCAAAAATTCTGACTAATGAGTTCGGATCCGTTTCCTGTAGTATCCCATGGGACTCTTTAGATGTGGTACAAATCCTGTATGTTTTTGTATAATGTCTCATTCAAATAACAACAGGGTTCGACTCAAAAGATCTATGAAGATCTGTATTTACACTCTTTTGTACTCCTAGCCGAGCAAAAAAGAAGCCGTATACTATGCTAGGAAACACTTCCGAGGGATGCGACAAAAAGTTGGACATCCAACTTAGTGACAAATCAATAAGCACAATAAATAAACGGACGTTGTTTCACTACTCACAATAAATTGATTTCTCTTATATCGTCTTCAAGGATCCTTTCTGACTAATTTCCCAGAACATTTTTTCCACATAAAAAATCTAATGATTATCACTTTCGTATGGATTTCTTCGTAAGTCCCATCAACAACTACGCATTCACTAGCACAACCCAGGCCGACCTCAACCTGTCATACTGTTGGCCAAAAGTATTAATATTACAGTTCTCAAAATTTCGTCCTTCCTCAACTGGTTCATACCTCCATATGGATCTAATGCCGACGACAACGTAACCGGAAAAAGATTCGTTAATGAATGAATAACATCTGTCATTCGAGAGAACCCCAGATGAATCATTCCGACAATCGGATCCAATGGGACCCGACAGGAGTCTGCTGGTATTTTCCAAGTAATTCTATGAAGCTGAAGCATTCCATTTTGATCCCGAGTTCTAGTACAACACGCGAATGCTTAGTTCTCGAATCTGATTACATTCCACTATCAGATACGGGTGTGGGTGTGAGTGTTATTCTTTCACACACTCCACAGCAACATCCACATCTACACCCACACACCCCAGCCACACCCCACAGCCACACCCCACAGCCACACCCGCATATAAAATTCAGTATATCGAACTGAACCTCTGTTTTTTGTTCTGTGGACCCTACTCGAAATAACACCCGTAGATGGAGAATCAAGCTCTGCATCGAAAACCTTCCTTTAGAGGCTCACTACAGATAAGGCAATGAATTCGAACACAAAAAACTCATATTTGTTATTAAGACTACTTCAGTTGCAAATGTTTTAAAGAAGGTCAGATCACTTTAAAATGTTGATTTAATTCTTTGTCAAACTTGATTTTCACGGAATAAAAACTACGCTTCCGATTTCGTCTAAAACTTTGAAAACCTATAGGTGCGTGATGTCCATTTTCTTGACACTGTTTCAAATTTAATATGAAATCATTTTACAGAAATGAGGATAATTCGATTACATTTAATCTTATGTTCTTTGAAGATGTTCATATATGAAGTTAAATGTTGAAACATTGGTGGATGAAACAATCCACCCATCCACACATCAATATTGAAAACACATTTTGTTAAAGCTCACACTAATGGCATTTATGAATTTGATTATAAAGTTGATAGCGGTGTCGTTTATACAAATATTACTTGTATGAAACTTGTCGAGTTTAGGAGTGACACTTAAACTTTACTTTAAAATTAAAGTTAAATTAATTTTTTTAAATGTTTTTTCCTAAAAAGAGAAGCATTACTTTTAAAAAATCAATTTTAAATTTAACTACTTTATTTTTAAAAGCTTAAAGTTAAAGTGTCACCTCTACTCGTGTAAAAAAATTGTCTCAATAATCACAAAAAGTCTGATTTTCAATCGATTATAATCATAGGATTCTTAATCAATAATTTACACAGAAGTAATCAGAAAAAAGTCGGTTAGTTTTCTTGAATTTGATTATAATCGATTTTTAATACAGTTTCAAACCGATTAGAATCAAATTAAAAAAAATAGCCGATATTTTTGTGATTATTTTTGTATAAATTATTGATTAAGAATCGTATGATTATAATCGATTAAAAATCAGATTTTTTGTGACTATTTTTTTAGACGGGTAGCCCTGTTCAAAAACAAATATTTTTTTTTTGTTAATTTTCTTTTTTAAAAATACAGAAAATAGAACCTTTTGAATAGACATGTTTTTTTTTACTCCGCAAATAAGCTTATCTTTATTTTCCTATTTTTCAAACTTATGCTTCTCTCAATTTTCTTTGTCATGACCTCGTGTTCTTTATATCTTGTCTGAAGAAGAGCTATTGCAAAAGAAAAAGAAAAATTGCACCTGCTTCTCATTTGTTTCACTACATACATTAGTGAGTTTAGTAATCTTTATTCTTTCGCTGAAAAATAAAAATACTGAATATCTTTGATAGAACAAAAAAGAAAAATCGAAAGATTCTAATAATCTACTTACACTTGAATATAACTTTAACTTTCGATAATAGTTTTTGTTTCATAAATGAGTGAGTGCATTTCGTTTGAGTTTATATGTGAGTTCTTTTGGGTTTTTTCCCAGATGACGTTTTTTTCCCACTCGTTGTTCTTTTTCGTGATGGTCACCTTGCCAACTACCTTGAATGACGAATTTCACATGATAAGATTTCCATTTTATTCTCCCAAATGAAATTACATCGAACTATGCAGAAAAAGAAAGATAAAGAAGGATGTCGGTGTATGTGCGGGTTTGGGTTTGGGTCTTTCTTCTACTACATCCACCCACATCTACACACCTACACCCATCCTCTCAATATATTTAATGAAAAAGTTTGTTGATTTTTAAAATTGGTTTATATCAATCAAACAATGATTTTCTTTCCTTCCATATATTAGATATAACATATATTTTAATATAAGCTCCAATAAATATGAATGATATTCATATTCATTTTATCGACATTTGTAGTATTAACCAAAGTAGTATATATTCAGCAAGATACCTAGAGATTTAAGAAATGATTGCTTTTATTTTCTCTACTGGAAGGAGTATTATGCGTTGACGTCGTGAGAAGCTACTAGTAGTGAGTATTCGTTCGTTTGTTTGTGTGTTCTGTACAGAACGAAAGAATTTTTTTGTCCTTTTCAATTCAATAGAGAAGAAAAGAAATAATTCAGTACAAGAAATTGAAGATTTATTTTTTAATGTTAATTTTTATTT